TTAATTTGGTTAAGAAATAAAAAATAAAAAATAATTATCATTTTTATACAATTTTTATCTGTCAAGTAGTTAGAAATAATTTTTTACAAATTAAATTGAAACCATCATACGTATCTATATAACCTGCTCAAAAGTTAAAATGATCATTATTTTTTATCCTTAAATAATAATTATTTCTTATTTCTTATTTCTTAACCAAATTAGTTTTTAATTTTAAATTTTTTTTTTTCTAAAAATCAAACTATACATAGTCTAAGAATCTTTTGATAAATCATTTCTTACGTTGGTAACTTATTTAATTATTTGTTAATTGACATTTTTACCATCCGAGACTTGTTTGGTAATCATTTCGTTTTCAATTTTCAATTTATATTTACAAAAATTTAAAAACTATCAAAAAAACTTGTTTGATAATTTTGTTTAGTTTATAAATGGTTGTCTCAGTTTGTAAATTTGAGAAAAAAACGAAAATTCAAAACATGAGTTTACGTTGATTTTTAAACAAAAATTTAAAAATTTTACTAACAAATTTTTTTTTCAATTAATTTTTTTTCCAATTAAATTTTTTTTTCAATGACTTTTTTTTTCCAACTAATACTAACCGAGGGAGCAATTGGTAATGCTACTTTAAACCTTAAGAAATGGATTGTAATTTCTAAAATGTGAGGGGTGTCAATGTAATTTACCCAGTGAGGGCAAAATTGGTATTTAAAAAAATTAAATTACTGAAGGAGAGAATCTGTAATGAAACTTTAAATCTCAGGAGGGGAGATGTAATTTCCTAAAGGTGAGGGAGAACTGTAATAAATATAAACCTTAGGAGGTGTCAGTGTAATTTACCCTTAATTTTTTGAGTAAATTACATTGACACCCCTTGAGGTTTATATTTATTATAGTTCCCTCTCACCTTTTGAAAATTACACCACTTCCCTAAAGTTTAAAGTTTCATTATAGATTGCTCCCTGAGGTTTAAAGTTACATAACAGTTCCACCCTTACCGTAATGATCATCATATATAAAATTAAATTAAAATGGGAGTTAGCATAATTTTTCAAATGTAAAGGGAGAATTGTAATAAACATAAATTTCAGGAGTGTCAGTGTAATTTACCCTAATTTTTTATATAAATATTTTACCTAATAATTTTACCTAATAAGTTTTAAAATAAGAATGATCCAAATAATGGAAATTATGATAGATTAGGATATTTCTTAAAATAAGAATGATCCAAATAATTTTTTATATAAATATTTTACCTAATAATTTTACCTAATAAGTTTTAAAATAAGAATGATCCAAATAATGGAAATTATGATAGATTAGGATATTTGATTCAAAGAAATTAGGACATCCCGCGGATCACTCTCCCTCCATATTACACCACTACATTCATATTCGGTTGCCTTTGGTGACACCACTACTACCTTCTACCTAATTCTCTTTCATAACACACATCAGTGTTTGACGCCATTACACAGTCCCTCTCTCTCTCTCTCTCTCTCAAAAATGAATAAGGTTTTTGCCGCCTTTTGGTACTCCGGCATTCTCCCCCTCTTCTGCACCACCACCATCCCAACCACTACCACCACCACTTTCGAAAACCATGAGAGCCTGTCACAGCCTCAATCCGCCAAGAAAGCTAAGAAAGCAGGGACGAAAGCGAAACAACAACAACAAAATCAATCTTTTGAGGAGTTGCAAGAAAAGCTTCAACAGTTGAGGATCGAGAAGGAGCAAACTGAGGAGCTATTGAAGGCAAGAGAGGAGACTTTGAAGATGAAGGAGAAGGAGCTTGAAGCAAGGGGGAAAGAGCGAGAAACGCTTCAGACGGAGCTGAAGAAGTTGCAGAAAATGAAAGAGTTCAAACCCACCATGGTTCGTTTTTTTTTTTTTTCCCTCTTCAATACGATGTTTGGTTGCTGAGAAAATTTGGTAATTTTCCTACATATTCTCAGAGACTGAACCCAGATTAATGGTTCAGAGTTGATGGGTATGTTTGGTTTGGTTCTCTTTAAAAATTGTTTTTGGGTGAGAGTTTAAAATTTTTTTTGGTTTGTTTGGTTGTATGTTTTGAAAGTAATTTTGGAATTTGAGGGTTTGAAATGATTTGATATTTTGTTAAAACCAAACAAATTTTTTAAAAAAATTTTCCCAAATAACTTTACAAATCCAAACCAAACATACCCTAAATGTCCCCTTAACTTTTTTTTTTTATTTACGAAAAAGAGTTAATAAATAAATAAATAAATAACAAATTTTTGAACACATTCAAAGTCAAACTTAAACCGGTTTCAGAACTATCTTTTTAAGTAAATTGTTGACCACTATCTTATCTAAAAACTAAATCTTCCTACATTTTCTTGAAAACAGAACAAAGAAAAAGAGCTAGGAAAGAAAGACAAGAAGAAGAAAGAACCAAAAACTAGACGAAATGTACTGAGTGTTGTGGCCCGTCTGATGGGAATGGATATGTTATCATTCGATACAAAATTTGTAGCTCGGCAGGAAGGAAAAAAGAATCAAAAGCCAGGAACCAATTTGCATAAGAAGGAACAGAATAAACAAGGCTCAGGTGGCCATGTCCATTGCAACTCAAATTCTTCTAGACGGATGGAGTTTAATTCTTTTCAACATAACAAGGACAATGATCCTGATAGTCAGCATGTTCACATGAAGTTGAAAAAGCCAAGGTCACAAAAACATCCTCAAGAGGAGGAACTACAGAAGTTTAAGAAAGAATTCGAAGCATGTCAAGCAGCAAGGATCAGGGAATGCTCAAAGGTTGTTGAACTTGGAACCATGAAAGGTAGCTAATTGATTTTGACAATTGATTTTAATCAAAACTTTTGTTAATGTACTTTGAAAAATTCAGTCAATTGACTACTTCTCAATTCTGAATTTCTAGAAACCATGAAAGGTAGCTAATTGATTTTGACAGTGATTATGGAACAATAGCTATGGTTTTACCTTGGTTAAGTGTTATAGGTATCATAATGATGTCAGCTTGAGTTTGACCTATGCCAATTGCAATTAGTTTATGAGGGAAGGCACTTGTGACATATCAAATAGTCTATAATCACCTTGATATGTCACAAGTGCCTTCCCTCATAAACTAATTGCAATTGGCATAGGTCAAACTCAAGCTGACATCATTCTGATACCTATAACACTTAACCAAGGTAAAGGTGATTATAGACTCTTTGAATAAAAAGGATGTGCAAATCTCTTTGCTTCTCAGGGAGGAGAACCACGATTTAACTACTAATTTGACTCACAATATTGTCATATTAGATGATGCACTAGCACTCGTAAGAAAATGATTACCACCACAAGAAAACCTCATCTCACCTGGTTATGGCAAGAGAGAATAAGTTGAAACACATTTTTCCATTTGAATCTCTTTTGTGCTTTTTAAATTAGTAGGGTAATGATGCTGATACAACTATACAGGCTTAGAGGCTCCTCAAAACAGCTTGGAGCTTCCAGTAGAAACTTCGCAGAGCTATTACGCTGTTGGAGACAATATCCCGGTAATAACATCATCGCTTACCTTATTTTATTTGAGCTTTATACTATGTTTTTGGGGTGGAACCTTTGAACGGTTTACTATTTCTTGTCGTTATTTTGTGACTAAGAGAGGATAGGATGTTAGCTTTTGATGTAAACTGTATTTGAAGTGTTCAAACTGCAGTTTACTCTCTGCATTCTTCAGAAAGAAGGGATTTATTGTTGCTCTAGCTCATGGTGTTCATTTTAAGAGATTGCTTGACCCGATTCTTTTTAGTGTAGGCTCACAAGAACTGGGCAACAGCTCTTGTTGGAAGGAAGTTTGTTTTGAGGTTTTACAAACACTTTGATGGCTCACCAAAAATAAAATAAAATAAAACTTGGGGTTGAAACTTTTACAATTACCATTGTGCAGTGCAAATTGTACTTGGATGAAATTTCCAAACAAGAAATTACGGGTTCAAGCCAAAATGGTTATTGTTAAAGTAAAATTGAATGTTGTTATATTAGTAGAAAAATACTAAAATAACAATTCTTGAGTTTTTATAGTACTCTTTGGATAAATCGCATCAGGTTTGGAAATTTTTTTTCTATCAATAATTGTCACTATTTTGATGATATTTATCATCTTTGAAGAGGTTAATTTCTGTTGTCGCTGTCTATTTTGGTTGGTAGATTAAGAAGCCCTTTTCTCAATGAACTCAAATTCTTTCTGTTTTGATACGTTTGTTAATCTTCTCCCATGTATATATTTTTTGTCAGCGACATTATTTAAATCCAAATCTTTGTATAAAACAGTTTGTTAGTATTGAACTTTTGTCTTGTTTGCTTTTTTTATTTTTTCTACACTGAACAAATGTTTTGTACGCATTACTCATCCTTGTAGCATGATACAGGAGTGCTTCTTAATATCAGTTCCAAGTTCCAATAGTCAATGTTCTCTGTTCTATCATTCTCCATGTGTGTTGTGTGTGTGTGTGTGTCTCTCTCTGTCTCTCTGCAGGTGTCTTTCTTGATTCTTATTTCTATATACGAATTTTTCAGTACTCTTATGAAGTCAAACATGAGTGGTGCGAGAACTCTTATCCAACTGAGGCTTCAATGAAGATGTTGATCAGTGAAGAAATGTCCAAAGGACCAAACACCAGACAAAATGTACCGAGTGTTGTGGCCCGTCTGATGGGAATGGATATGTTATCATTCGATACAAAATCTGTAGCTCGGCAGGATGGAAAAAAGAATCAAAAGCCAGGAACCAATTTGCATAAGAAGGAACAGAATAAAAAAGGCTCAGGTGGCCATGCCCATTGTAACTCAAATTCTTCTAGACAGATGGAGTTTAATTCTTTTCAACATAACAAGGACAAAGATCCTGATAGTCAGCATGTTCACATGAAGTTGAAAAAGCCAAGGTCACGAGAACATCCTCAAGAGGAGGAACTACAGAAGTTTAAGAAAGAATTTGAAGCATGTCAAGCAGCAAGGATCAGGGAATGCTCAAAGGTTGTTGAACTTGACAGAATTCCTAGCCAGTGGCTTGCTCAAGAAGCCCTCAACAAGGAAAAGGTTGCTCTCTATTCAAATTCAAGAAGAATTACAGCAAGTGAGAAGCCTATAGATTTTATGGGTCATGCAGTAAAAGCAAGCCCATGTGAAAGTGGGTTGCAACATCATGGATTTAGGGAGGAACTTTTTCCATCTGAGCAGAAGGGATCATATTCTTCAAGGAACCGAACCCTAATTAGAGATTTTGAGCAGCCATCTCTGATTAATTCCGACCAGAAGCTGGATATATCTTCTGCTCCAACAAGGATAGTGATCCTGAGGCAACTGAATGAACTCGATGCTGATGGCCCCAAGAAGACAGTCACCGAAGAGCAGCCCTTGGAAACTGAAATGGCAGAGTTAGAGGATGAAGCAGAAGCTTACATCCGAGACTTGCTTGTTGCTTCAGGTCTGTACGATGGTTCATCTGACAACATTTTATCAAGATGGGACCCACTAGCAAAGCCTATAACCAACGACATCTTTGAAGCAGTAGAAGAGTCTTACAAGAAAATGACCAAGGATAATGAAGGGTCCAGAAGAGATCACAAGTTGTTACTTGATTTGTTAAATGAAGCACTCTCAGTTGTACTTGGACCACCTGTGACCATGTCTAGATTCAGAAAGGCTATTGGTCCTGCACTACTTCCTCCACGTGGGCAGAAGTTATTGGATCGTGCATGGGAGATTGTTCGTGCACATCTATACCCTCCAACAGACAAATTTCATTACTGCATTAATGATATGGTGGCCGAAGATCTGGGGTTCACCACTTGATGCTGTGGGGAAAGAGATGGAATCCCAGATTACCGGATATCTGATTGAAGAAATAGTGAAGGATATGCATGCAGAGTCATAACGGTGCATAGAAAAGCCTCTTCTTCTGTGTAGTGGCCATTCTGATGGTCAAAGGGACCGTGGTAGAGGGTGCAGAAAGTGCTGAAAATTTCAGCTCGCGATGTGGGATCTTTCCTCACAGGCTGAGGCAGAGGCAGAAGCAGTGTTAGTTATTGTAGGCAGTGTTAGTTATTGTAGGTGAGTGTCAACAAAATATTGCATATCTTTTTTCATTGGGGATGGTTGTGATATAGGATATGGGTTGGTTTGGGGTTCCTTTTGAGTGTATATTGAGTTTTTTATTTGATACATTAACTATTTTTTTGTATTGGACCAGTCTGCTGGACAATCCCAGATCAATAGAAGATTGTGAACCACCGTATTTGTTTGGGTAAATTATATTACTTCCCTTGATGTCTGAAAAAAATATAATAAGTCTTACAAATTTGAAGTAATTATATTTGGTTTTCTTAAAATTTTAATTCATACAACATGTAAGCTATTTTCATCAAGAATTCATTACTTACATAGATAAAAAAATAATATTATCATCTCTTTTACATAAAATATATGTTCTATCTTGTATATATTTTTATTTTCATACTATTTGTATTAATTGAGTCTTTTTAATCTTAAAAAAAAAAAAAGAAGGTATAATTAATGTAAGTTACTCTATTTTGTTTTTTTTTTTTTTGTTGTTGTTGAGGTCGTAGGATTAGGGGTACAACTCGGACGGGTTCAACCCGAGCAATTCGAATCTAGTCTGAATTTTTTTTAAGGTTTGGATAAAGATATTTTCAAATTCAGTACAGGTTTGCGTAAAAATTCATAAGACCGAATTAAATTTGGGCGGGCTTGAGTAAAGACGTCAAACAACCTGAAACTCGAATTATATATATATAGATATATAAAAATATTAAATATACATATAAATTATTAGTCATTAAATGATGTTAAAATAATTTAGATTATTAAATCATAGTGAATATATATTATATATACAAATAACATAAAATCTTACTTTTTTATTTTCACTCATAAATTGTACTTTCTGCTTGTGGGTTTAGTGAAAGAAAGCTTTTTTGTTGCTACTTTGTTTGAGCAACTGTTTTGTGTTCATGGGTGTACCTATTTGATGCAATGCAACAATCTTGGGAAATTATAACAGTAAAAAGGGTGTTTAAATTTCTGGGTATCATCAACATACATGTAAATCTTGGAAACTCTGCTAAAGATATTCAATTTATCTCAATGCCAGAATGATGATTTACAAGATTTTACTTGTGGAGTGTGTATGTGTGTGTACTATTTGAAGAATATCACAAAATGTTTTTGTTATGGGACCCGAGTTATGCGTGATAAACTCTGACCTGATGATCCAACAAACAACAGGATGGATCAATTCATGTACTTCTTTGGAGCTTATTTTTAAGTGCATTCCTTGTCAAACAATTTATTTGGAAGCCTGTTGAGAAAGGTGAGAAGCTAGCAAAAAGGGTTTCTTTGCTCTGAACTTCTGTTTGCAGGATTTAATTTGTTTGGTTTATATTATTAGTAATAGCTTCAAGTTAATTTGGATGATGACACTAACTGTTATCCTTGTTTGGAGGCATTGCAAAAGCAGAGGGCATTTCTTTGTCATTATCATAAGTTTATTTATCCTGCATTCTCCTTGTCTATCATCATTTTCTTGTGAAAATGGTTTAGTTCGCCAAAGTTATTGCACTATTCGGATCATATGATCAAGATATGAGAGTCAGCTGAGTTGTTTAAAAAACATTAACAATTTTTTTACATGTAACATGAAGTGCTGGACCAATCCCTTTAATTAACATATTGCACTTTGTTGAAGAAGTTACAACTGCAGAGTTCTTTGTTATGGTTTCCCTACCAAGAATTGACCTGTCTAAAACTTATTGACAGATCATATGTAATCAGGCTTGTCCATCACCAATTTAGGCGCTCACATTAGTCTATCTTTATTTGCTTCAAAACTGTGTGTAAGTTCATTTGTATTATCCTGTCTATTTCACAACTTTTGTGAAATTATATTCTTCAGTATTTAATTGTTGAGGACATATTGAAACACATTGCTGAGCAGCATGTGTATTATTTATAATATTTGTCTGGTATTTTTAAAATTGACTAATGATAACTCTATTGTCCTTCTAAGCAACACAAAGAAAACACAAACATAAACAAGCATACATATGTCATACAAGCCTACAAGGGAAAGGGCATTTGTGAACATGTATATTGTCTTGCAGCATAAGGTTCTCTCTCTCTCTCTCTCTCTCTCTCTCTCGGTCTGCACAGCATAAGGTTCTCTAATTCTTGAAAAACACAAGCCATTTGGTAATTACATATTTTTGCCGCTAATTTCTTTAGTGATGCTTACCACCAAACGCCGAAGACGCGGCCGTCGCTATAAGTTTATGACGCTTTAAAAACGTCGTAAAATAAGTATAGGCGGCGTTTATAAAAACGCCGCTAAATATGGCAGCCAACAGTAGCATCACGTCACAGTCATTCAGCGACGCTTCAAAAACGTCGTAATAGCTTTTTTGTTATTTTAAAAATATAACTATAGTGGCGTTTTGAAAAACGATAGATTTAAAAAATTTTTTTTTAAACTACTAATTTTGTAAGATTTAACTTTAAAAATATACCTATTATTTTTTTTTTGTATGAGAATTTTTCATTTATTGAGAGAGTGGATCTAACTCCCATTTGCAAATATATGTTAGGTGTCAAACTGGGAAAAGGAAAAGTTGGTTCAATGGTACACTCTGTTTATTAGAATGTCTCTGCTGGTTCTTTGAATAGCAATGTCCAAAAAAAAATATATGGATATTGATTGGTGCCTATTGGGACTGCAAATGAACCAAACTGTTCATGAATAGGCTCGGCTCAGCTCGTTTAATAAACGAGCCAAGCTCTAATAAGTTCGGCTCGTTTATCTTTATTTTAATTATATAATAAATATTTATATATTCAATAATATATAAATAATTACATTATTTATATATTAAATAATATAAATAGTATTTTTTTATTTAAATAATATAAATAATATTAAAAAATATCTTATCGAGCTGAGCTCGAGTCCAGTTATTTATCGAGCCGAGCTTGAGTCCAGTTACTTGTCAAGCCGAGCTAGAGCTCAATAAACGAGCTCAATAAGCAAATGAGCTGAGCTCGAGCTCAGCAAAGCTCAGCTTGTCTCGGCTCGGTTCGGCTCGTTTGCAGCCCTAGTGCCTATATCTTAGGATGCTTGTTTTTAAACAAAACAAAAGCTATGGAACTCATCCATTCATAAGTATATTTGTGATATTAAACTTAAAAATCATATCTATCAAACTGAAGCAACAGTTACAAAAGAGCACTGGTTGGAGTATCTCTTCTTCCCTTTTTTTCCATAACCCAAAACATTCTCCAGTTTTTCTAGCCTAAAAAAGAATATGGCCAACCTTGCCTTTAGCTGCTCAATAGCACCACTAGAGTAGTTTATGCTTAGGATCTCCCGTCTATTCACCAGTTCAAACAATCACGAAGAATAATATTTTGTTTTGCCTGTTGTATGTATTTTTTCTCCTTTTGTCATTTCTAATCATCGGCTTCACTAATACTACTCTTTTTTTCCTCACATAGTGGGAGAATAACCCACCGCTTCATTCCCATTGAAAAGATTTTGAAACCTGTCCTGAATGAATGTGTGACCCCAGTCACTTGTTATTGGAACTTGTCTCTGATTGTACGTGAGGAAGAAGAACTTGTGTTAGTTTTCAAGGTAAAATGATGTTTTCTCATTTGTACTTTCTATGCTTTTCGGAAAAACCTAATGATGATTATAACTTAAAAAGTCACAAAGAACAAGTGAGCCTTGAAGTGCATATTATAGTGCATAGAGGATTTTCACACCCCACATGTGGGACCCATTCTGTGAAGAACAGCTGATTGCTAAAGCAGTTGAATAGGGTGATTTATTGTTTAATAAATAAGGAACTATTTTTTGCAAAGATGTTGCCCCTTGTTATTTCCATTCAGCCCCCACTCTCCCTCTTTATACTGACTCAAATAGGGCTTGAATTCTTGTCCAGGAACTTCACCCACCAGTGAAAATGTTAATCCCAATCTGGAAGGCGTTATGTGCTGCCACTGACAACCTGGTCACTCAAGTTCCAAGTAGATAAAATAATCAATGGTGTTGAACTGTTTCGAATAAAGAGCTATGATGCACCACAATCTACCTTCTCGGACAGTTGCTGGTCAATGGTACCTGATATAATATAACATCATTATGAGATTGGCGACTGTGCTAAATTTTGTTCCCTCAACTAAGTGTTTTGTACATGATTGAATTGATATACATTTCATATTCTGCAAACGGAAGATGGGAAATTTTAAGAAATTGATTTTACCAATCTATTCATTAGAAGAATCAATATAGTGTCTGCTTTAATCCTTTTACTGGTCACTACACTTCAAAATATGTAAATCATAGGGAATACCTGCATGGACATCATTAGCATGCAATAGATTAAGCCCACCTGGTTGTTGGATGATTGAATTGCTGCTTCTTTGAGAAAGATGGTTGTCAAATTTTTTCATTCAATTATATCTTCTGTCCAGCTACCGTGCTGTGTTGATTTAACGTCTATTGTGTTCTGGATGATATACATTGGAAATTTTTATTTTTATTTTTTTTGTTGTCCAACTTCATTCACAGTAATGGGGTTATCTGGAGATATTTACTTCAAATTTTGACATAGTCCATGTATGATTTTAGCACTCATAATTTTAGTATATTTGCTGGACAAAGAAAAAAAAAAAAAAAAAGGGACAAGAGAAGAAGCAACTATATCTAGCTGTTTTGATCACACATCTGCCAAGTAGCTTTGCCTTAAATGATTTTAAAAAAGAGGTGAAAAAATAAGGTGTGATTTTATTGTGTGCAAATACCTGTCGTTACAAACTACAAGCGACTCTGTTACACTGGTACAACATATTATTGGTACTTCAGCGGTCAGAATGAGAACTATACATAACAAATTGAAAGAATGGGTTCACAGTGGCAAGGAAAAAAGGCATGTTGGTGGAGAACCACAGCCACCACTGAATCTGGAAAACCAACTGGTTACTCATCAAGACAGACCTCTGGCAAAGCTCAAACGCTGTGCTGCACGTTCTAAACTTGGTTCATGCTGATGTAACCCATGCCACAATTCATTAGAACCACCATTCCACAATCCAAGCTTAGCTATCTGCCTATGCAATGCCTCCAAGTTGACAAGAGGGACAGTTGTTGGTCGCCCGTGAGCACACTGCAAAACAAACTCTCCAGAATTATCCACAATGCAGCTAAGCAATCTCTCTCTCTCAGCTAAGCAAAACAAACTCTCAATTTCTTGTATTGATTGACAAATAGACTAGGATACTGTCAACTCACTTGGAAACACAATGATGTTTGCTTCAGCTCTTCCACAATTAGGGAACACTCTGAAGGTAGCAATGTGTCCCCAAACATTATTGCACCTAAATAGTAAAACCAATAAGAAAGAAAAACCACGGCAAATGGCAAATGACACTAGTCCATATGAGAATATTTTGTGGACAAGCATCACCTCGCATAAAGCATTAAATAACTTAATTTGTGGATGATTGGTAACTAATGCAACTTTTACACAGACTAGCATTTTTCCTAAAGATTGAGGTTATTATACCTCTACATGCTTTGGAGTTAAGGACCCGATGAACGGATGGCGGTATAGTTGATGATCCATCTGTATCAGCAAGCTGTTGATCACAAATACAAACTGGAGTGAGAAAATCAACAAATATAGTTTGGGAAAATTTTAGATAATGAATGATGAATCAATAAACTCCAGAAAAATCATGGAAATGGAACTGTAAAAACTTCTCTGTATTACCTGTTGAAGAAATTCCAAGAGATCTACATCAGTCAAATTGACTCCTACAATACACGGCACCTGCACATTAAAGTAATTGTGATATTCAATAATGAGACAAAATAGAGATTGTGGATCTCTGAACTATGTCAATAATGTTATACATCTTGAGTAAATATACAACATTGAGGACACTTAAACATTTAAAGCACCTGGTTGGTCAATGTGTATGTCTATGGAAGTAATAACAATAACTTCTCTGGCAATAATATTTTCCTCTATATATGCATATATATGTACGTAGTTGACAGACTAACTAGTAATACAATCAAGAAAAAAAAAAAAATTTAAGCTTGTAAAAGAATGGCTGAGAGAGAGAAAGAGAGAGAGGGGCAGGAATGTTCTTCACCGCATTAAGTGTGACAACAGTTGGCTGCCTGTGTAGAAGATTCAGATTCCTGTAAAAACACAAAAGGGTGTACACCAAAAAAATCTCAGAATTTAAAAGATGAATTGTATAACAAGACAAATGCAATATATCATGCATTCTCTAACACCATCCATTTAGTGGGGAAAAAAAAAATCATCCCAGCAAATCCTTAACGAAAGATATGAAGCAGGAAATCCAAAAGGTTGTCCAAAGTCATCAGCACAAACAAAATTTGACAAACTTGTTCACCAACATTGGTATGGGGTTAATATCTTTGAAGGTCATTCACACAATGATTGACACATAGATCAACAGAACTAATTAAAGATTTTCTAGACACAGAACACAGAAAAATTACTTTTTAAAAGACCTTGAACCCAGAGAACGAATGTTGCAGAGCCAACCCCAATTTTGAATCTGATCAGCATAGTTGTGCAACAACTGATACCCTATTTCAGGCAGGACCTGTTTACAGTTTCGAAAACAATAAAAATCAATAGTGAAGATCTAAAAATTTTCAGATAAATGTTTAACTTGGCACAACATCTAGGGCTGTAATAGAACCCCGACATATACTGTGAAATGAAAATACCAATTTTTGCTTAGTATCTAGGTAAGTGACTGTCTTCATTTCTCCAGATAGCACCTACGAATTTCACTAGTCTATTAGCCACACTGGATTTGTCATTTTAAAAAGTTTGAACTACAAAAGCATTTTACCTTCTGACGTAGTTCTTCCAAGCGGATCCTTTCATCTGCAGCATGCTGTAAAAGACAATCACTTGCAAAGTAAGAAATGCAGCCAAATGCTGGAAGCAGACTCCAAAACCCTAAGCCAATAAATATGATTATGTGTGTTGGTATGTACACGAATCAAGCCCACACATGTTTGCATGTAGATGTATATATACTACCAGGCATCTACTGGCTAATGCTGACACGATTTCCCAATTACAAGATTCTCATATGAGAAACTGTTAACCATTCCATGTCCTCAATCCACTTCTAAGATTTCCTGTGCTATGTACATATCAACAATTGGTGTCATTGAACATTCTGCTGAGATAAAATAGGCCTCGACTGAGAATCATGAGAAGCAGTACTAAACTATGTTACACGAACTCGGGTGTAAATATTGGGTGCGGGCACAGGTGCAGGTACATCTAGGGGTCGGATACTTCAAAATAAAAAATTGAAAATACATAAATATGGATCCAAATTTGGATACGAGTACGGGAATACGGTAAATAGTTATTTTTTAAATATATTTATTTTATAAAGATGAGTTAAATAGTTATTTTTAAATATATTTATTATTTTTATCTTATGTATTATTTTTATTGATAATATTTTTAATTTATTTATATAATTTATTTTTTTTTATTTTTAATTGATATATATATTATAAATAAAAAAAGGGGGATGCACCAATAAATCCCAAATTAATAACTTATGCACTATTTAGTCCTAAAAGTTTTCTTATAGACTGAAAGGTCCCATTACAATGTTAATAACATCAGATACAATGTTAATAACATCAGAGTCATGTTACAAACATTAGGTTTCAAACATCTAATGTTCATCAAATTTCAATAATGTTTGAAAATATAGGATGAAAAACATCTAATGTTCATCAGATTTCAATAAATTTTGAAATTATAGAATGAAACATCAGATCATTTACATCATTCACATCATGTTGATGTAAAAATAGGACTAAATGGAGCATAAGAAAACTTTTAGGACTAAATGGTTCAACGTTTCAAAAACTAGGACTTATGGGTAAATTTTCCTAGATTGACATAGATGAAGACAGAGACAAGACGACACAGAGACACAAATCGACATAGATCTTCACCCTGTTGCTACCACTGCTCCACTGTAAGTTTCTCTCAACAACCCTTCTTTCTCCTCTCATGTCAGCCATGTCCAAGAAACCCATGCCGAATCTGACACATATCTCACACCCGCACCCATGTCGTATCGTGTCGACACGGGTACTCTGCCCTAATCCAGCGAGTCCATGCAACAGAGGTACTAAATAGTCCACAATTACAACGTCCATAGCATAATGTTTTAACTTGTGAACTAATGTTCTATTTGGCTCACTAGAATAAGATGGAATGGAATGGAATAATCATTCCTTAGGCTCCCCTATGGAATGATTAGTCCATTACAATGATGAATGATGATTCCATTTGCAATATATTTTTTAGTCAATCAAACATGGGAATGGATATTTTGATGGAATGATAATTCCATTCCATTCTATTCCAGTGAATAGAACACTACCTAAATATATCATTTGGCTACGGTCTTTCAAAAATTTAAAAACATGAGATAGATGGATCTCAAGAAGAAAAAAAGAAAGAAAGAAGAGCAGTGCTTAAACCTGGTCAATAATAGCAAGCACTCCACCACCCACAATTGGAATGAACTTCTTATCCACCTGTTGGAGAACTTTGGCATCCTCCAGACAATTCTTATTGATAGATTCAGGAACTAATGAATCACCAGCCAGATGCAAGATCCCAGAAGAGACATCAAGTATATTACTCTCATTCTGAAGATTATGTAATTTGTCTCCCCTCTGTATAGAAAACAAAATCACTTTGTAACCACTAATTTCATAACTTGACAACCCCAAGTTCTTTTAACAAACTGGTAATCATGATAGAATGTGATTTCAAAAAGAAAAGAAAAAACGCTAAGGTACTCAACTGCAGTCCGTAGACAACTCTTCTGCCATTTTAGCCCAGAATCTAATGGATCATGAGATTCATTCAATGTGCAGTCTGAAGGCTAAGAGAGCATAAAATCAGAAGTATATCATTTATATGGGTATGATGAAGGTATAAAGTGCTAAGCAACAAAAGTGATAATCAAATAATGGTGAAGAAAAAAAAAACAAAGTTAAATTTATTCTAGGGTTTTTTACTTTTTTAGTCCCTAAAGTATGCAATTTGTCATTTGGTCACAAATGTCTAAAATTTGTCCCTAATGTATAAAAAAGTGTTTCACTTTAGTCCCCCAACCTAACTCTATCTGGAAGTGTTGTTAAAGTCAAGGGTAAATGTGGAAACTCAATTAATAAAAACACATTTTTAGTCCAGTTAATTCTATTTGCACACCCCTCATTTTCTCAGTGCTCACACCATCTTCTAATTTTTTTATTACAGTTTTGTCCCTCAAACAAATTACTCTTTTGGATAAAAACCTAAACCCTAATTTCTCTATACACACATCTGTAGGGCTCGCAAATGTCGGAAGCAACATATATATACATGTTGGATGGCAGGAATATTTCCTTCTAAAGATGTTGGTTCTTTTTTTTGTTTTTAGCAGATATGTAATTATGATTTTAACGCTTTACCCCTAGTTCAGACGGAGAGAGACAAAATTAAGTTAGGGGACCAAATTGAAACACTTTTTATAAATTGGGTAGTAAATTAACACAATTTAAACATGGGGGTCCAAAATGACACGGATCACTACTTTGGGAGCTAAAAGTGTATTTTTTTTAATCGAGTTTCTGCATTTACCCCTAAATTTAATGAAGTCTACAGACAAAGTTAAGTTGGGGGACCAAAATGAAACACTTTTTATACATTGAGGGCTTAGGCCTCACTTGGAGAGTAACTATTTTGGTCAAAAAGTCACTATAAGTTGTCATATCACTCCCTCTACTTTTCTGCACATCTTTTCGTAAAAAGCAAAAAAGTTACTAAAATAGCTTGTTCCCAAACTAGGCCTTAATTGACACAATTTAAAATTTGGGATCACAATGACACATGACATTCTTTGGGGACTAAAAAGGTAACTAATCCTTCATTCTATAATACATTATTCATAAATGCTTACATATTGTGGGAGAATAGGCAAAATAATATTAACTGTTCAATCTACAATCCTACATAACGCTACATAATCTTAACAGATGGAAATCTACCTAAAAAAATCTGGTACTCACCCATAGATCAATGGGAAGCATAACTTTTGCCTACACATAACAAAATTATTTTCAACTGAATCCATGCCGTAAATGTGGAGGCGCTTTGACTTTTTGCATTTTAAATTTTTGAACGTCAATTATGTCTTGCGATGCTACATTATACTAACATAATCATAATAGATGGACACCTGCCTAACAAACATGGTAGCTTCTCCCATAGATCAATGGGAAACGTAACTTTTGCCAACACATAACAGCATTACCTTCAACCAAATCCTTACTGTAAATGTTAAGATCCTCTGATTTTTGTGTATCACATTTTTTAATGTCCTTCATGTCATGTGCTTTCTTCTTATCTGGTCTGAAAGCAAAACCTCAATGAAGTTAGCAACTATCAGATTTGATCTAGCATTTTAAGCTTGACATGGAAATACTAAAAGTAATTATACCTGGTGTAGATCAATGGATCTTCCACAGAATTTGGCTCAGAATATAGTTGACATTCACCAGATGATTGTTGAGGATGCTTCAACCCACTCGTTTCTGCACAATACACATAAATCTTAACTGGTCTAGCTTATTTGCACCACCACCAAGTCCTACAAACAGTTTGTATTAAAGCAACACCTTGTGAAGTAGGGGCATTATTGATGGCCTGGGCTTTGAGTTTTTTTGCTTCCATGGCCAAATGTGTATTTAAGGTGAAGAATTTTTTCTTGCCTCTGTAAAAGGGTGGAGTTGAATGGCTTCTTTTTGGCCTTCTCTTACAAACATATCCTTCTTGTTGATATATAATCGGATCCTTTAGGCCTTCATCCACAACATCATAAATTGCTGAAGAAATATGGTGTGACGTTACTGCAGAACAGTTGGCATTATATTTACCATGCGAGTTTAAACATAACCACTCTGTTTCATCAATAAATATATCGGGACATTTT